AATGGCTCAAGTAGTTGGGTACCTGCAACCCACGTGGAAGAGCCAGACCAAGTTCCCAGATTCAACCAGGCTCAGTCCAGCTGCTGTGAACATTTGGGGAGTGAACCAGCAGAGAGGAGGTATCTCTTTCTGCCCTTCAAATAAATAAAAATTTTTGAAACTCTAGGAGTACATTAGGAGACCAAAGTCCATTATCCAAATAAGAGAAACTTATGAAAGAAAGAAAAAATGGAAATAATCAACAACCTCATTCAAGAAAAAAATCGCAGAACTAAAAGATGTTTCCAGATTGAAAGGATGTACCAAGAATTCAGCACCATGACTTAAAAAAAAAATCCACTGGAAACAAATAAAAATGTTAAAGGCTTTCAGAAATCTTAAATATGCAAGGAAAGAAGGAAAAGGAAGAGGGAAAAGCAAAGATACAAGTCATATGCAGTATATGAGAAATCAGAATGACTTTGGGTTTCTCAAAAGCAGTATGGATGCTAGACAGCAACAGTGCAAAATTATGAGAACATAATTTTCCCAAATATATTCTTTACCTAACCAAAGAATCAAACAAGTTATCAGGTTAAACTAAAGTCATTTCAAAACACCCAGTAAACCAACAATGAAGTCACCATTGGTCACCTGAACAATGGAGATCCAAAGAAGAAAACGAATGGAACCCCAGGACAACAGTTGTACATCAAGTCTACAAGGCAGTCAGCATGGGAAGGAAGTCAGAAGAATCTGAAAGGAACTTTCCTCAGGAAGATAAAATTGATAGCAATACCTGATGACAACAACTTGAGAGACACCTAACAATAACAACAAAAATTAATTATTTAAATTAGAAGACTGTCAACACTGGGTGAGAAGAAACAATGAACTTCAGCCAGATCACTTTATGGAAAAGTCAAAAGCCAACAAGCCATACTGAAAACCTGTCATCAGCTCTTTAATCTCCTTAAGTGCAGGCAGACAATCAAGAATTACCAGGTATCTGAGGAGGGCCTCTTGTCAAGAAGGGTAGAGCCCAAAGCACACAAAAACGGCAAGAGAGAGGAGAGAGAACAGGCAACCTGAAGAAAACAGACCACACTAACAGATGAACACTTGAGAAGGGAGAACTCACATTTCTACATACCAGGTAGCTGGGGATGGGGTATGAGCAAGAAAGCAGCCACAGCACAGTGTACTTGACAGGAAGAGTAAACACACTTCACAAGAATACTGAATAGTCATGGCCACATAACTAACTTGGGAGGATGGGGGACCAGCTGAGTGGCTGGTGAAACCAGGGCTAAGTCTTCATTTTCTATCCAAGAAATCAACAAAGCAAAAAAAAAAAAAAAAAAAAAAAAAAAAAAAAAAAAAAGCAAGGAGTATTTAACAAACACATGATTTGTGTGAGTTAGTTCTAAAGGTTCGCTAAGCACACTTAATTTTTACAACAATCTTACAAAGTAGATACTATTTTTATAAATGAGGAAATGGGAGGCACAGAGAGGTCAAGCAGGCCCAAAGTTACATAAAATTAGTAAATGACAGAGGGAGAACCAAAACTAAGCAGCCTGATTAGAGTCCATGCTCCTAACTCATCAAGCTGTACTGGATATCTGGTTGAAAACATCATGTTTGAGACTAGGAGGTCAATATCACAATAACCATCTGAAAGAAATGACAGTGAGTGCTTCTAGGAGAGGAAAACTAGGAAGGAATGGGGAAAAACACTTTTTTCTTTGATAACCATGGAAGCTATTTGATGCTTCAAACTGTGCATGTACATCTTAAATTTAAAATAAGAAGCTATAATTTGATATTCTGTAGCTAAGTGTTTTAAATGATGCTACCATCCTCAGAAGTAGGTAAAATGAATATTATTATTTTATGTATAAAACATTGCTCCTTAATAAATATTTGAGGATCTACTATAAAATAGGCACTGTATTTAGAAGAGTTATAAATTCACTTCAAGGAATAAAGAGGTAGAAAAAGGTTATTTTATTCATTTATTTTCTATACATTTCATAAATTATATGAACCTGCATCTCTAACAGTTGTGTAAGCCAAGAGCCAATATAAGCTTTAAATCATGATAGAAAAAGTAGAGAAAGGCCTGCTCATTAATTTGTTCAAAAAATATTTACTCCCTGTCCTTGAGGAAATTCTAATCTTGTGGGAAAGACTGGTAAACATAATTATAATCGAAAGTGAACAGTGCTTAAATAGAGGAACATTAGAAAGTGCTAAGGAAACAACATCCCCTAGGAAAACAATGCTTCAGAGGGAACATCTGAGCCAAGTTTTGAAGGATGAATAGAAGTTTGACCAATTTTCATGAGGCTGTAGTAACAGATCAAAGATCATATTTCAGTATGAAATATCAGTATCTTCCCATTCTTGTAAAGGTAAGTTCATGTTAAAGCCTAAAACCTTAACATCTTTTCACTAAGAATGAATTTTAAAAACAAGATAATCTTAATATCTTGATTCATGTCTCTAATCTGTATAATATAAACTGGCCAACAAAGCACTTTCCACATGTCTAGAAAATATTTTAAAATATAAAGTATTCAAATATTATTCCTAAAAATTTTAAATAACCATCTTGATTTGCTCTACCAACCAAAAGTTATATTGTTACACATTTCTTGAGTCATAATATTCAAATTATAATATGCCCCTTTCTCCCACAAGAGACATAGTGAACAAGCCCAGAAGATGCCAGCGACCACAAACGCTAACACAGAATTAAGGCAAAAAGAATTTTTTCTTCAATAATTCTGCATTTTTCTTTTGTAATTGCTTTCAAATTCCCTTTCACTGGAAAATTTAAATAAACATTTCCTTTTCTAAACTATAACGCTAAAAGAAATAATCTGCAGTAAAACATGATTATATATACATACATACACATATTCATCCTTTCCAATCTTACAGATATTTGTGGGGGGGGGGGAGATCTTTGATTTTACAAAATTTGAAGGAAATCTCCAAAACAAAAACTTTCCAGTTCTAATGACTGAACTTCGAGGTTAACTAGCATTGGTTCCCAGAACAAGTACAATCTGAAGACAAGTTACTTTTAATCAGTACTTCATATTTCTCAGTGTATCTTCTTGTCCCTTTCTAGAATTCCAAACCTTTCCACCCCTAATTAATCTTGCTCCCAGTTACAATCTGAAAAAATTAATCTTGTACTAGTATCTTAAACTAGTATTCTATGCCTACAGTTAAAAACCTAGTTATAAGTAGCATCATCTGACTTAATAGTCTGGAACAGCAAGTTTTGGAAAGCCTTATCATGCCATACCAATAGGAGGGAATACAGGACAAAGTCGTACCAGGAGACTACAATGATAATTAATAAAATCATGGCAGGTTTGAATTCAAAATGTGTAGTTTTCATTTGTATATTTCAGCCATCTTTTTTTTTCTAAATGTAGCAACCATATATTATACCTGTTTCTATAGGATCTTTGCTCATGAAGCACCCTTTTGATTTAGAAAATATTTGATGTAAATCTTTAAAATAACAAGTGAATACCAGAATGGTAATGATAAAATTAAAGGTTTGACAAGAATTATAACAGGACTATTAAAGAAACTACATCCTAGAAGAAGTATTTTTTGAAGTATAGTTTTGTACACATAATACAGAATACATTTGGGTCAGATAACAAGATTTTAATTACATGACTATTAGAAAAGTAAAAATCTTGAAAGGCAAGACTTTAACTAATTTCAACTAACCATACCTTTACTTTTTATCTTTTAAACAATGAAAATATCATGAAGAACTCACTAAAACATTTGGCCGTTTTCTAAAATTACAATTCTTTTGCAATATGCTTAATTTTCCAAAGTGAAACCCACAAATATACATATTGAATGTCAATACTTCAATTGGTTGAAAAAGTTTAATTACAAAAATCTCCAATTAAGACTAACATAATTAAATACCTCACACACTTACTCAAAATTCCAGTGAAGGTAGTCTTGTCATAAATCCTATGATGTTTTAATCAAGGTTAGTTACAGACTGGCAAATTTGTGAAAAGAACATTCCTTTTGAAATAAACCAGGTTTTAAAGCAATGTGAAAATATGAAAGATTTCACAACTTTCCTAGCCAGTCAGCTTAAAAGACATAATTTGATTCAGTAAGCGTAATTAGCACATTATTTCCATTCTTAGAAAATCTTGGCTTAATAATATTCTCTGAATATTTCTGGTAAGCCAAGAAGGGAGCAGGTGTAGTAGATTAGCAGGAGAATTTCTATGGCTCATTTTCATCGCTCTATAAATTCAAGACTTACTTTACTCTTTAAAATGGCTACCACCTTGATCTACTACGCATACTACCAACAGAGATAAACCTGCTTATTTTAACGGTTGTGTGCCTTGTTCCCCAGCAAAATATTTTTTTAAGATCTGAATTCCTTTTCTGTTAAAACGACCATTAAAAACACACACACAAAGTTGGTCAGTTACGGTATGAGCGCAACCTATGTAATCCACGGTAGGTCATCTTTTCTTTGGTGTCTGACTAGGAAAAGCAGCTAACAGAATCTTTCAGACTAAGATCAAACATAGAACTGAAAAAAAGGTTGTCCAGTAAGAGAGAGCAAATGTGGGGACCACAAGTCCCCAAGAGATGACTGTAAGGATTTTAGTAACTCAAAAGAATAGATTAACTATTATGTGAGTTGGCAAAAATAAAGCTTGTTTTCATAACTAATATTTCTAGAAAACATGTTATAAATAAAAATCACTTGGTGACTCCAACCTGTTTTTAATGTGAAAGTTTATATATACTGTTTACCCATTATTTCCTATCCACACTGAAATCATTCCATAACACTTTCTCTAGAAAACTATGAAAATCCATTTTCACAAAAATTAAAACTATCCTCCTTTAGGCTAATTTTGTACATATATATATATATGTAGCTACTAAATAGATGAACTTGGAATCTGTTGAATGTCTGCAGAAATATGGCAGGATCTTACCTCTCATCTTCACCATCCACCAGGGGTGTCGTCAGCGGTAGCACCTTCAACGGGAAAAGAGAAGCAGAGGCTGCTAGGCTGCTGCTACTCCCATCTGAAACTGCTGACATTCCCCCACTGTCACCACTGAGAGTTTGAGGTAAGCCAACTAAGGAGGGCTCCGCTGGGCGCCTGGCATCTTCAATTTGGCTTCCAATTGCCTGAGCTAACGATTGTGCAGAGAACTGCGCAGAACTTAGTGGTATCTGCTGTGCCAAGGGCAAATTTATATTAGTTGCTATCAAGGGAGGTTGACTAACACTTTGAACCAAATTACCATTTTGGGTGGCAGGGGTTTGTGCTATATTCTGTGGTGGAACCAAGTTTGTTGGGGCGGAAGGCATTCCAGAAGGACCAGTTGAACTAACCTGATTGGTAACAGAAATACTACTAGCAGAGGGCAAAGGACTAACTGCAGGCAACTGCTGTGACACTCCTTGAGCTACTGGTTCTACTCCTTGTGGCTGGGGAGGCACAGTTAACAAGGTACTTTGGGGTGCAATAACCAATTGTTGAGGAAGGCTTGAAGCGCTAGTTTGAACTCCCTGATGGATAATCCCAGTTTGAGCAGGTGGAACTACTTGTGAAGATGGAGGAGCACCTTGCTGAATAACTGAAGGTGTAACTTGGGTAGAGGGCTGCTGCACTGCGGTAGGTATGTTTGCTTGTTGACCAACATTTGCCATTTGACTGCCAGCAGGTACAGCAGACACTGCTGTCTGAGCCTGGCCAACAGGCTGGCTAGATGCCCCTGCAGGTTGTGCTTGGACTGCTATGGGCTGCACTGGCAGCTGGATACCCGGTGGCTGAGCCACAGGAATCACTGTTGCTCCTGCTCCCACTCCTGCAGAACTGGGCTGTCCAGAAGACATGGCTGTCTGAAGCATCGGCTGCTGTTGTACATACTCTGAAGTAGGATTCTGAGTCACTGGTTGACCATGGCCTGGGGCCAACTGTGTAGAAACCATTGGTTGATGTTGTCCATATTGTAACTGCTGGGGTGGTGCCCCTGGAAGAGGAGTTTGCACTGGGGGAGCCGTCTGGGAATATGGCAGTTGGGGTTGAGCCAAACTAGAAATGGAAGGCTGCTGACCTAAAGCTGAAGTTACACCAACCACGTTTACAGGCGATGGCTGGATACCAGTTGCAGCATTTATGGTGGCTTGCAGAGGTACTGGTTGAAGACCTTGCTTTTGCTGATAGCTCAGTTCTTGAGACTGTAATTGTACTTGCGACATCTGCGGCTGAGAAATGCTCTGTGGACCGGCGCTACTGAAATCCATTTGTTGGAGGGCCACACCTTGAAGGGCTGGTGGTGGTGGCGGCTGCTGCTGTTGCGGCTGCACCACCACTGTAGGGGTTCCCATCTCTCCACTTCCCACACTCTCTGTGTAGTGACTCAGTGTGCTGACGCTACTGCTCACTGAACTCCCACTAGTGCTCTCTCGCTCAGAAGACACTTCTACCGGGTTCTGTCTTACAGTCTCCACCACTTTATTTATCGCCACGCCTTCAGTAGCAGGTACAGCGTTTTCTTTTTCATAGAACTCAGTGCAAGTCCATCTACCTTTTTTAAAGGGTTCAGAACTAGAATCTAACTTCACCACTCTGAACCTTGATGTGTTAACGGTTGGCTGTTGCTGCTGACTTGACACCAATCCCACAGTCATTCCTGCAGCTGCACCAGGGACACTGTTAACAACAGCAGAAGAAGAAACAGTACCATTGCCCATGCCACTCAAGATATTTACATTAACACCACTAGGAACTCCAGGCCCAACACTCACACTAGCAGCACTAGGAATATTGCTTGCACTTATATTAGCACTCCCCAGCACGCTGCTTGTCACATTAGGACTGAAACTACCCACAGCAGCAATGTTAACATTATTCACTGTATTAGTGCCAGTAACAGAATTTATACCTATACCGCCTGCAGTGCTGGGGGCACGGATATTAGTCATTACAGATGCAGGTGAGCCACTCGATGATACAGCAGAAGCTGGTGCAACTGGTGCAACACCGTCAGAGCTTCCAGTTGTGGAGAGTTTTCTGGATACAGGGCTTGAGGGTGGCCCTCCAGGAATGGATGCACTGGCCACAGCAGCATGGGATGGGTGGTGGTGCCCATGGTGGAGGTGGTGCCCGTGATGAATGTGATGGTGGTGATGGAGGTGGTGTGGATGAGCATTCCCATTGATCACAACACTCTGTTGTGGAAGGTGGGGCTGATTGGGAGAGACCGCGCCAGGCGTCTCGGCTTCCTGGAAGTTATTCAGAGTCTCCTCCGAGGAGCTGCGCTCAGGCTCCCCCAAGTCAGTAGCCCTGGAAAGTGACACATCAAGGATCTCGGAGGAAGAGAGGTCTTCCGTGTGAGATTCATCCAGATCGTCATAGCTCTCTGTATCCTCCGCTATACTGTTGTTAGAGCTGATACTGGCGGAGATCTGAGCCGGAGTGACGCTAGTTATCTGGAAGCCACTTTTCTTTTTCATTTGAGTTCCGCCTGGCGCAAGAGGCTGTGCCTGCAGCTGAGCCTGCGAGAGGAGGTTCAGGCTTTGTGGAGGCGGAGGCTGTGGTCCCGACGAGGAAGATGCTGCAGGAGGCGGCGGCTGGAGCAGCGAGGGCGGCGGAAAATCCTCGGAAGATGTGGCATTACTCCCGATGCCAGTACCTGCTGCACTGAGAGCAGAGGCGCTGCCACCAGCGCTGCCCCTTCGAGGGAACATTGCCGGGTGCGCCATCTTCCTAGCACTAATGTCTGCGGCGGCCGCCGCGGCGGCGGCGGTGGACTCAGGCGGCTGGTGCATTGTGTTGGGTACCGGGGGGCGGAGGAGGCGAGTGCAATTTCCTTCTGCACCGTAATCTTTGTATGCGAGACGCCGGAGAGGAAAACGGGACCTGACGCTCCGCCCGGCGCGATTCCTCCTTCTCCTCCTCCTCCTCCTCCTCAGCCGAAGGCGCCGGCCGCTCCTGCCTTCGCGGGCGAGCTTCGGGAAGGGAGGATGAACGAGGGTGAACAGGGCGGCTGGGGACCCGAAGGGGGAACCCCCTCAGTCCTTCGCCATTCACTTTCCCTCTAGTCTCACACCCCCCTTTATATTCCGCTTCACGTGGGGTGCGGGGCGAGTGGGGGGGGCAGGGGAGGGGAGAGCAGGGGAGGGCAGGGAAAGCGAGAAATGCCCACCTTCTTTGGCCAACTCCGAAGCCACCTCAGCCCCCTCCTCCCGCCGCGGCGGCGGCCGCTGCAAAGCCCTCCCGGTCGCCCTGCACGAAGGGAGCGCGGAGCGAGTGTCGCCTTCCCCTCGCCACCCCCGGCGCCGCCGCCGCCGGCGAGCCCCGAGCTCAGTGTCGCTCAAACCTCCCCTCCCGGCCCCGCTGGCCCCGCTCGGCCCTCCCCCCACGCCCCGCAGACCCTTTCAAACCCCCTGGGCTCGCGGCGGCTGCTCCGGGAGGAAACGCTGGCCGCGGCTGGGGCCCGGGCGGCGCGGCTGCGAGCGGGGCGGCGGCGGGGCGCCCGGTACGGTGAGCCCAGCAACGAGGCGCGGGCGGGCGCGCAGAGACGCCGGGTCCTCGCGGAGCACGGCCGGGGCGCGGCGGCGGCGGCGGCGGTGGTGGTGGCAGCGGGAGCCCAGGGACCGCTCCATCACTGGCAGCCATGGAGCCCGAGCATTTTCCTCCCTCAGGGCAGTCGCCTCGGCTCGGCACACGTCCTCGGGGAGGAAGGGGCCGGCGCCCGAACCTCCCCGGAGGGCGGCGGGACTTGCGCTGGAGCAGAGGGTGCGAGCCTCCCTCGTCCTCTTCCTCCGCAGCCGGCTCGTCCTCACCCCGCTGGCTCCCGCGGCCGGGCGGGAGGGGGCCGCAGGCGGCGGCGACGGCTCCTTTCTCGGCGGCGTTGGTGGCCAGACGGGCTGGTGCAGCGACTGCAGCCGACGCCGTTCAAAGGAACGAGAGGTGGGGTTGGTCGGTGTCGGCAAACGGGGCGGGGGAGTGGGTGGGTGCCGAGGGAGGGTGTCGGGCGGGGAGGGGGCTGTGGTGGTTGTTACTAGTGCTCTTCTCCGGCTCTGCCGTACCCCCCAGTCTCTCGCGGCATCGGGAGAGGAGGGACCAGCGCCCGAGCGCAGGAGGAGGAGGAGGAGGAGGAGGGGCGACCGCCGGCGAGAGGCGGCGGCGGCGGCGGCGGCGGCAGCGGCGGCGGGGGGAGGGGGCAAGCGGAGGGAAGGAGGGAAGATGGCGTCTGCGCATGCGCCCGGGCGCCGCAGCCATAAAGCCGGGTTTGACCGGGAAGGAGGCGGCGGGTCTTCGGCCCTTTGCCGAGCGCGGAGTCTGTGCACGGAAATTGCCGAAGGCTAGCGGAGGCGCCGACGCCCGCGGGGGGAGGGGAGCCTCGGCCGAGGGAGCGAATCCGGGTCGGACTGTGTGACTGTGCCTCGTGGGGGTGGGGCGGGAGCGGGCCGGCGGCGCGCGCGCAGAGGCTAGGTGTGTCCGCTCCGTGCTCGCACGCGGCAGGCGCGCGCCCGCGGGCCCGCGCACGGCGGAGGGGACCGCCCGAGCCCCGGGTGCGGGGTGTCCGTCGGCTGCGGCATGGGTAAGGCGGCCTTCCTCCGCAGCGACAGCATCACGAGTTTCAGTTCCCAGGAGCCCGCCGCCGCCGCCGCTGCCACGACATGAGTCAGGCTTTCTTCCCTGGCGCGTGGCAGAGCCCGCCTCTCGCTACACCTGGGCTCGCCCCCGGCCCGTGCTGCCCTTGGCCTCCCTCACACACACACACACACGGGGACGCCCCGGTGCCGGGAGCTGTGGGGTCCACGCGGGCCCCCGGGCGGCGCAGTCGCGGCTGCCACGCGGTCCCCTCGCCAGTCGACGGGCTGGCGCTGTGGGCGCCGCCGCGGCTCCTCGGGGCAGGCGCTCTGGTGAGGAGGGAGTGGCCGCGGGCCAACCTCACCTGGAGGCGATCAGCAGGTAAACCAGCTGACCTCAACAGGTGGAGCTGCTGCTCCCGCAGCCATGCCTTTTTCCTTTAATTGTCCCTGCTGCGGCCCCTCGGGGTTCACTTAAAGAGGCAGGGTGGCGACGGGGGCAACGCTGGAGAAATAGCAGATGAGGAATGTAGCGCTAGAAAAGTAAGAGAACCATCGGAAATGTCAGTGTTTGGGGGAATAAAAACCCACTACGCGGCTCTGAGCAGGGTTCTGAAGGTTTGGAGACGACTGACGAAGCTTCCTGGCATGACAGCCCTAAACGTTCGTTGCTATTAATCAAGATTGTGCTTCTCACCCAGTAATTAGAAAACAACGAAGTCAGCTGGAAACCATTGGGAGAAATTTTTATCTTCTGCACTTGGGTTGTTGGGAGGGCGCTGAGCGCGTTTGGTTAGACCCTCCTATTCCGGAAACCTCGCAGCCCTCTTTCAGAGGGTGCTCCAGCAAGAACGATGTGAGCTTGTTGGCAGTTTTGATAGTTGTCCCCTCTTTCATCCCTCAGGAAGCTAACATGTCATCATGTGCGTCTATATCCTTGAACAGACGTGCACCCTGGACTTACCTTTGTCCTGGATCAAAGATGGGATATAGTGTTGCTTACAGTTATAGTAATTTGTGGTCTCCCCAGTAAACGGAAAAGGCGGAAATATACATATATATATATATATAGCTAATGTGAAACAGCTAGGTACAAATTTCTCAAAAATACTGGAAGTGATTATGGTAATAACCAAATAGTTTTGAAAACACAGTACTTGTTTTATTATATTCAATGTGTTTTTTTAAAAAACCATGGCCATTTGTGTATTTTATAAAAATAGTGACTTTTAATCCCCCAGCAGGCTTTTTTGTTTTAAGATGTATTTATTTGAAAGGCAGAGAGACAGAGGTCTTGCATCCGCTGGTTCACTCCCTAAATGGCCGCAAAGGCCACAGCTGTGCTGATCGGAAGCCAGGAGCCTGGAGCTTCTTCCGGGTTCTCATCCGCGGGTTCTGGGGCACAAGGACTTAGACCATGTTCCACTACTTTCCCAGGTTGTAGCAGAGAACTGGATCGGAAGTGGAGCAGCCGGGACTCACACCCCACCCCACCCCCTGCCCCAGCAGCTTTTGTTGCAAGTGATACCCCTAGCTAATGACTGCCATCCATTTTAAAAATATTTATTTATTTGAAAGGCAGAGTTACAGAGAAGAGAGGTAGAGAGAGAGAACCTTAATCTGCTGGTTCACTCCCCAAATGGCCCCAACAGCCAGAGCTGAACGCATCAGGAGCCAGGAACTTCTTTCCTGGTCTCCCTCGTGGGTGCAGGGGCCCAAGCACTTGGGCCATTCTCTGCTGCTTTCTGAGGCACATTAGCCGGGAGCTGGGTCTGAAGTAGAGCAGCCAGGAAGGAGCTTTACGTGCTGTGCTACAACGTTGGCTGACGTGCTTTTTCAACGATTTTTGAATGGAAGATTGGAATTATCCTAACCTATTGAAACTGCAATGGAATACAGACAGAATGCTGTTTCTTTGGATTACAGTGTGAAGGAAAATGCTCTTGATCTCTCAGAGTTTTAGATTACCCCCTGAACAGCAGCTCTGCACCCCCTGGGCCACCTAAATGCCCTATGATTGTGCTTATTAAGCTGGAAAACACAAAATATTAAAGTGTTGCCCAAAGTTAACAGAGTGAAGGAGTTGTTGAGAGAGCCCTACCAAAGCAGGTGTTTGCTCTAATTACCAGTAGCAAAGGATATTGTTTGGGGCTGTTTTGATAGGGGCAGGGGATTAGAATGCTATTCCTTAAAAAAAATTATTTAAAAAAATGCTTTTCCAGGGTAGCATAAAGAAATACGGACTTTTCATACATACTTCTGTTTTCGCCTACCATGTCACTTTCAGACTCCTTTTTAGGATGCATCAAGTCCCACTAAGATATAAGAACTGCTCTAATTAGGGAACGCTGATTTTCTGAATATGGCTTTTTGAGTGGTCTTTTGGTCTGGCAGTTAAGACACCAGATAAGATGACGGTGTCCTATTTTGGAGTTCCTGGGCTCCAGGCCTGGCTCCATTCCAGGTCTCCATTCCAGGTTTTTGCTAATGCGGATCCTGGGAAGCAGCAGGTGACCCTTCCACCCACGTGGGAGATCTGGAGTAAATTCCAGGCTCCCCCCCTTACCTTAGCTCAGTCCCTGCCCTTGTGGGCATTTGGGAAGTGAATCAGCAGATGGGAGCTCTGTCTGTTCTTCTCCTCTTACTCTTTCCCCTTCCCCATAAAAATAAACCATGCATTTGGACAGCCAAGTTTCATTATGTTACTTCTCAATAAACAGATCTTTTTAACATAAATATTAAATGCATTAAATTCTTTGAACCCAGTACTCAATTGTCCTTTGCCTTTTGAAAGACTCAGTTACAACTGGTTTTTTTGTTGTTTTTGTTTTTTGTGTTTTTTTTTTGTTTTTTACTGAAAGTATACCTCTGAATTACTTCTCTGTTGACTAAAAGATTAATCCTCAGTGCAGTGTTCACCCCAATCTAGTTGGAATACTGCATACCAGCCTGTATATTTGAGCATGTTGAGTGTTTGTTTTACCAGAAAACAGAAAATTGGCTGAACGTTGTAACACAATTTCACTATTTCTGAGAAGTGCAGAGTGGGTCAGTCTTCAAAACCAAGTAATTCTGAAAAAGGCAGTGCCCTCGAAGAGCAGGAAGGAAATACCTGCACTCGGATGGCTGGGGTACACAAAAATAGATTTTAAGAGAAATATGTGCAGAAAATATGCTAATGTTCCACTACGGTAATAATTCTGGCTAGCCAATCCTTTTTGTCATACAATATTACTTATTTGTAACCTCAAATGTCATCTAAAAAAAGTCAAATGTCAAATGTGAGTTATAAACAAACAAAGGAAACATGCTTTTACATATGCAGGGCACTGTTGTAACGTGTTTGTTAATCAATTTTCTCTCTATAAAAAATTTACAAGAGACCAGTAGGGTGTTATTTGACTATTGTAAATACCTCAAACTGCCTTTTTGTAGACTTGCATTAAAATTTTCATAGTTCAGCTTATAACACATTATCTTTTGTAGCATTTGTTAGATTTTCAGTGTAAGTTATTTCTCTTCAGCTTAACAATTTTATGTCTTCGAAGGAGCTAATGCTTGTGAAGTAGAGAAATGTGAATTTATGGCCTAGAAGGCACACTGGTGTGCTTTAGCTCATTTTATTCTACCCTTTCTGGGAGGAGACTATCATTCTCATTTTAGAAATAATCGCAGAGAAGTTAACTAACTTTTCCAAGGTCCATGCCTAAGTCTGGGTACTAAGGTCCCCTTAATTTCAAATTCTGTACATCTGTGTTGGAGAAGTTTTCAGAAAACATCTGAACTCTAGGAACGAGTATTTTTTAAAAATCTTTGGAAATTAAAATTTTAATGCTTCTGCATGCCAAAGAAGATATACCATACATACACTGATTGCACACAGCCTTTCTTCTGTATGAAGAGGGCAAAGGCTTACCCTGTCTGAACCAATGTAAATGTTACAGGTTCTTCTGCAGTCTTTTCTGACTTTTGAATATGTTAATTTGGAGAAGTTTCTCAAACTTAGAAAACTCATTTCTGACTTCTGCTTCAGAACTGTGTGGTGCATGCGTAGGAAGAATTAGGGGCGAGCATCTGACCTCACAGTTAGATGCCCGTATCCCAAAACCTGTGCCTGGGTTCTGTTCCTGGCTCCTGTTCCCTATCCCGGCTTCCTGACAATACAGACCTGAAAGGCAGCAGGAGGCAGAACAAGTAATGGGAGCCCTGATGCCAACAAAGGACACACGCGTTGAGCTGCCAGCAGCTGACACCAGTCCCAGGCTGTTGCTGGCATCCAGAAAGTGAACCAGACGATAGGAGTGCTTGCTCACTCTCTCCTTTGCCCTCCCTTCTTAAATAAGTTTAAAAAAAAAAAAAAACTTTGAGGGGAGGAAAATAATTTGTTAATTTAGATTTTTAAGGCCATCCTCAAATAAGACCTCAAATTTTCCCCATGTTAGCTAATATTTATTTAGTGCCTACTGCATAGTGCATGTTGTTCTAAATGCTTTAAATGTTTTACTTCAACCCTCATGACTGTCTAAAATGGGAGTTCAATTTGCCCTCTTTTGCAAATGAGGAAAATGGGGTAAAGAGAGGTTTTGAGCTTGGCTAGTTGGCGGGGCGGGGCAATG